TAAAGTAGGAATGACAGATAATGTTTGCTTCCATTTTTTAATGTCATAAAAATGTCTGTACTAGGCCCTGTTCCAAAGTCATGGATGACACAGAGATACCACTTCCATAGTTATGGGAACTCTGTCACCTTGGAAAATATAATTCTTACCTGGTTTGGAGACAAAATGAAACAGAATGGAATGGGGGGGGGTTAAAAACTGCAAGTATTTCATTATTGTTATATAATTGTTAAGGAATAATGGGTTGCTCTGTTTAGAATTTGTACCCAGCTAACTTTATAGAATTCAATTAAGGGCTTGGGACAGCAGGGGGATAACAATAATACAACAAAATCAATGATTAGTACACTGTTATGACCTCATTTAATTTTACAGCATCCCCGTGAGAGGGTCCTTATTGTCTCCGCTTTAGAGAAGCAGAGTTTGCCCATTGTGAGCAGGGGCGTGGCTACACTAACTCCTATCACAGTTCCCATACTCCACATACATGTGCCCCGCCTTACCCAGAGTAAGAGCCAGAATCCACTGGATCAATTGCCAAAGGGCCGGAAGAAGGGGTTTTCTTCCAAATAGCTAGATCTAATTTATTTATGATACAATATTAAATATATTTTACTAGCTAGGATACCCCTACTGGTCATCATGCTTGAATTTGAATTTTATTTCAAGTCTTTCAAAGTCTGAGCATTTACTTTTAATTAGGATATCAATGCAATTCATAATTTCAATCCCCCCTCCCCCCATAATTCAAAGAAGTGTATGAAGTTGTGAACAGTGCACACTGGGGACTATGGTTGCTGATTCATCCTTATCAGGATAACCAAAGCATTGGGAGTGAAACAGAAAAAAAAATAAAAGCTGGCTTCTAGAAGGTTCATTTAAATTTTTTAATGGATTGAAACATCCTGGACAACCAAGTGGTGTATCTTTCACTTCAAAAAGATTCACAACAAAAAGATCCCTCTCACCCTGGTTGAAAGGAATACTTAAGAGCACAGAGTGAGGACACTTGGACATCAGCTTTTCTTCACACTGTTATCTGGCCAGACTCTCTCTTATAGGCAACTGGTACTCTTGAAAGGGACTATTTCTATGAATAAGTGAACATTTCAAAACAGACTCTTAAGGAGATTTTACCTACTAAAAGGGTGCTTTTAAAACGGAAACTATATCCCAGATGAGAAAAAGCTAAAGGAGTTCATCACCACCAAACCAGTATTAGAAGAAATGCTAAACGGACTTCTTTAAGAAGATGAAGAAAAAAAAATATGAATAAGAAAATATCACAAAGAAAAAAATTCTTACTGACAAAGGCAAAATTATAATAAAAGCAGTGGATCAACCAACACTAAAGCTACTACAAAGGTTAAAAGGCAAAAGTTGGAAGATCATGTGTAATTACAACAGTAAATTAAGGGATACACACACACACACACACACACACACACAATCACACACACACACATATAGAAGAAGTAAAAAATAATGACAAAAGCATAAACATGGAAGGGGTAAGTAAAAATGGTAGTGATTTTAGAATGTGTTTGAACTTAAGTGACCATCGACTTAAAATAGACTGCTATAGACGTAGCTTGGTCATAGTTAGTCGGCTTCAGAGGTCTTGAAATGTATACCTACCAGGATATTTATGGATACCGTATGCTGGTAATACTTCCAGAAGAATTTCTAGCCTTCCTTATGTATAAGATTTAATAAATAGAGTGTTAAGTTCTATTAAAAAGATAACAGTCAATTTTAATCAAGTAATTCTACATACAAGAGGACTAAGAAGGAAAGCTGCTCAGAGGTCAAAGAGAAAACAGTGATTCAGAGAGCAAAACAAAGGTTTCCCATCCATATATTATTCATTAGCTTTTCTGACTGAATCGTAAACAGGAAGTCCACCTTGAGAGGTAAGAGCATAATATGGTCTTCACCGTCTTCTGCCCTAACTTTTTATCTCAGGTTACTCTTAACCATATTGATTCATCTCAATCGTGATGGTAGGGAGTAGGTAGAAGGTATGAAGATTCGATGTCATGCTACCCGAGTGATGGGAAAAGGGCTAAAATCAAGGTCATTTCCTCCCATAATGGCTGCCTCTGATCAACAAAGTGAACCTGTGACATACAAATGAATGGCACACTGAAAAACAAAAACAGGTGCAAATTTTTCCCCTTCCACGGCAGTTTTTATTAGAGTTATTATTAAATCATTTCTGAATTCAACCAGAAATATTATTACACTTATTAATCCCTAACTTAATTTCATATTGAAATATTTTCTTTGGATGCCTTTTATTTAGGTTTAATTCTGCAAACAAATTGATCCTGGGTGAATTGAGAGAGAATATCTTAACAATTAGGAAATGCCTTAGATATATTACCTAATCTTCAGAAATTTCATTCACTAATGTGAAAACATTGTGATAACAATAATGACTTCCATGACAATTCTTTTGAGGAATAATATATTTAACGCATATTACTCCACAAAACTTTTATTGGGTGTGAATATTCACTAGTAGTGGTTGGAAACCCTATTATGTGAAGGATAAATGAACAATCCAGAGAAGGAAAAATTATTTCAAGTCAAAGTCAAAGTCCTCCTGATGGTGTACAAGGCCCTGCATGATCTCTTAGTCCTCTGGCCTTGTTTTCGCCTATCCTCCACCTTGCTTACTCTGCTTCAACCCTGCAGTCATCTTTACTATTCTTTGAACAAACCAGGCAGGTTCCCACTAGATTTTCCTTTTTTTTTCCTGAAATGCTTTATCCCCAAATATACAAATGGCTACCTCCTCTATTTAATCTTTGCCCCAATGATGTCTGACCTTGCCTGCTATTTAATATTGCAACTTACTCCCTCCCCCAGCTCCCCGAATTCCCTCTTATTCTGCTCTGCTTTTTCTTTATTCTATAGCTCTTATCACCATCTAACATATACTATACATTGGTTATCTGTTACTGATATCTCTCTCTATTTTTGCTGGAATGAAGTCTTACAAGAAAAAGCATCTTTGTCTTTTAGTTCACTAACATATCCCAACAGAAAAGTCTGTGGTGCATAATACTAAGAAAAAAAAAAAAGGGGGGGACCGGCCAAGTGGTGCATTGCTTAAGAGCTGGCTTGCGACGCCAGAGGGCCCCAGTTCGGATCCCACATATGAGGGCCAGTGATACTGCCCTCTACAGCTAAGATGCTGAACAACAGCTCAACCTGGAGCTGGGCTGCCGTGAGTTGCCCGCGACAGTATAGGCTGCAGCACCTGCTGTTAGTGGGTTGCCATGGGCTACCATGTGTGGACAGCACATGGTGAGTGGCTGTTCAGAAGCTGGCGATTGATCTGCCTCTCCCAGGAAGAGCACAATGATGGTGTCAACTTGGGCCAGTGAAGCAACGTCCTCCACAACTAGACTGAAGAACAAAACAAAAAAAGCAACTTGTCTGTTTCCCTTCCCCCAATTCCCCAGTGCTGTTCCCATCCTCCAATTCCCCAATAAAAATCTTAAAAAAAAATGTGTTGAAGGAGCAAATAAAATACCTGAAGGGTGATATCATACAGCAGCACAGTGCTCCAGAAGAAGAACTAAGATTCATGGACAGACATAAAGGAGGCAGATCTGGGTTCAATATACGAATGACTTTCCAAAGGAAAGGGTTTTTCAACTTTGTCATGCAATCAATTTACCCACAGAGCTTGTTAAAAACAGATGTCCTGACCCCAGACCTAAGCAGAACCTGGAAGAACTGGGAAGCAGAACCTGAGGAAGTGGGTGATGTTTCACACCCAGGCTCAGAAGTCACTGTCCAAAACTCTCAATCACTGACTTATTCAAGTAGAGACTAAAAAACCACATGTCAGGGATATTTAGGGAGAAATGCCTGTATCTGCACTGCAGACAAAGGCTGGGCTCAAAGATTCTATGATTTCATCAGATCAATTTCTAGATTGATTAGTATATTGTAGTTTGTGCTATATTATTTAGACAATGTTAACTTTACTTTCCATCAGCCTTTGTTCTTTGGTTGAGATGTATGCCTCTTAAGAGGACTAAAAATATAGCTCTAAGGAAGTATCTCAATTGTTTAACATTTAACTCTTACATGGAAGCCTCATTACATATAAGAATATAGGTTGGAAATTTCTGACTTATTTTAGAAGTCACTATTATTTCATTTAATGAAGATAATAGCAATTCACAATTATATTTAGAATCAGTAATAGGACTTCTGAGTAAGCAACCCATGGGATAACCATAACTCAAAAGAGGGTTGAAGTCTGGTTAATAGTCTGCAACTGAGAACAACCCTAATTTCAAAGTCAATATTAAGCTGAATGCTCTCTTTTCATATAGAAGGCAGTACATAACATAAAATATATATTTCACTATGGAATAAGTAAATCGATTTCAGAAAAATGAAGGTTACCTTCTAAATAGTGGTTTATGCAGGTATAAAGTGAAATTGAATCATGACAAACGAAAACAAAAAATGACATGAGCAAAAAAACAGCACACATCAGACCTTTCACAACCAAACTCTTCCTTTCCTAAACACTTGAGCACATTTACTTTGCCCTCTGGTTGGATGGAAAGATCAGAAGATTCATTCCTCTGTTCTCTAGTTGGATATAATTACCCAGATTGGATTTCTTTCCATTCACAACTATCTACAAAGAATATTTTTCTTTTGTATAAAAAGGTGTTTTAAATTAATCAGTTTGGTAGGTTTTTTATGTTTACCATTATGGCATAAATTTGTGTGGAAATTATTTAAAATAATTCGCATTATGAGGAAAAATAGTCACGTGTATGTGTTTTACTGTATTTGAGTACATTTTTCTGACATACTTTAGATGAAAATTAGCATGCCTAGAATTGGCTAGATTCAAAACTTTATAATTGAATCTACAATAGCTCTTTTACTGTGTAATCCTTAGCTTTAAACATTTTTGTCAAAATGGGTACAATATGCAAAAAACTTGAAGGGGCACTTACCTGCCTCACAATTTTCAGTCACAATCCCTTTATACAAATGGTGGCTGAAGGAAAGTTTTACGTCTTCTCCTTCCATGTGAATAACCAAGAGACCAATGGCTGTCCTAGCTGGGACCCCTTGGTCCATAACTTTCAACTGCAGCCAGATCGGAAAATATTCTGAAGATGGGTTCTGCTGAAGTTGAATTTCTCCTGTATATTTATTAATAGAAAATAGTGACTGGGTCTCTGCAAAACTAAAAATAACAGTTCCATTGGGCCCCAAGTCTGGGTCATTGGCTCTCAGAATGGCAGTCGTCTGGTTTGTAGGTGACTGAGGGGAAAGAAAAATATCAAAGGGGTTCTGCTCCCAAACAGGATCATTGTCATTAACATCAGTGACATGCACTTCTATAATTACTGAGGTGCTTCTTGAGCCCTGGATGCTACAGTCTCTGGCCACGACCCTAAATGTATGCTGAGATCTGGCTTCTCGGTCGAGGGTCTGGCAGGTTCTCAAAATGCCCGCTGAGGGATCAATGGTGAATGCACCAGAAGCCTCATCTGTAAGAAAATACTCGGTTTGCCCATTCAGGCCCTTATCCTTGTCCACAGCGGAGAGCACAAGAACCACTGTTCCCACCTGAGCATCTTCTCTCACGGAGGACTGGTAATGAAGCATGGGAAAGGAGGGGCTGTGGTCGTTGTCGTCCAAAACTCGAACTTGCAACTGCACTACAGAGCTCCTAGGTGGCTCCCCCAGATCAGAGCACAGGACGACAAGGGCAAAACTGTTGACCTGTTCCCGGTCCAAAGCACGTGTGGTTGAGAGTTCCCCTGACGTTTTATTAATAGCAAAGTACTCATCAGTATTTCCATCTAGTAAAGAAAACAGTTAAAGTTCATTTGAATTGAAAAATTAGCAGCCTTGGCTAACTAACTAACTAACTAACTAACTAACTAACTAACTATATATATATATATATATATATATAAATTTTTTGATTCATTCATCCAACAAATATTTATTTCCTGATTATTACATCCTAGCACTTTTGTAAGTACTAAGGATACAACAGTGCCACGATAAAGTTCCTGTTCTCATGAAGCTTCTACTACTGGGGGATAAACAAAATAACATAATTTAGTATCTATCTTAATTCAACTATAATTAGAACATCTATAATTAGACTGATTTGCAGAAGTATGATTTTTTTAAATAAAACAATAGGCAGGAATAAGAAACAGGATATAATATCCATCTTTAGCTATCAATAAAAAATTAACAGATTAATGGTAGTAGTTTTCTCAATTGTTACTACAGAGTCTATGCCAGCTATATACTACTGTTATAAGTTCCTCTTCCCCATTTCCATGGCCCATTGGGCACAATCTTCACACTTCCGTTAGATGGTGGAGCACTTGTCTATTTCTTCCATAACATAAGCAAGCACAATGTTGTATTCTTCTCCGTCGCCTTCAAAAAACATCTTCCCTTTATGACTGTCCATGGTACTAAGTGGAATAAGCGTTAACACTGAACACAGGGACAAAGCCTTCAAAGACATTTGAAAGTCACCCTGAATGAACATTAGTCAGGAAACATGTAGCTCCGTGACTTGCTGGCGATTGTCTTTGATGAGAGACACATTTTTGGATGAGGGGCACACTCTTGGATGAGGCACACTATTCCCAATAGTGTGGGAGCTTACTTGAGGCTGCCAGGAGAAGTGGAATGGCTTTCAGAGAACACGATAGTCATAGGTTGTGCTGGGGGGCTGAGGAGAAGGTACTTGTATGTATTCATAAGACATGGCCAATTTGTACCAAACATAGGGATGATCTGATAAAGTACATTTCTGTGGTATGTGTTGTTGGTAAGGCAAATCATGCACTCAGCAAACATTTAAGGAACACTTGTCCTGTACCAAGTATGTGCTGGATGCTGGGACTATGAGGAGGGTAGGACATGATCCTGGTCTCCAAGAGTATATAGCCCAGGAGGACAGGTGGGTCAATACCTGGACAGTAAAGTACCATATGAGAATCATACATACAGGGCACTGGGAAGCACAGGGGAAGGCCACACGGTCCTGCATGAAGATGGCCAGGAAATGCTTATTTGAAAGAGTGACATCAAAATTAACTCCTAAAGGGGAGGAAGACAGGCTACAAGTTTCAGAGAGAGGGAAGGGGAAGAGGGAAGAGGGTGGAGCCTGTGTTACATCCCAGGAATATGGGAAATTAATGGCTGTAAAATGTGTAGCGTGGCTAGAACACAGGGTTCCTTGGGTATTTGAATATCAAGGGTAGGGAGAGAGTTGGCCATGGAGAAATCATGAATTTAGGAGGTGAGCAGGGGTCAAATCATGAAGTGCCCTGTGTACACTGCTGAAAGTTCTATATTTTGTCTTGAAATCTATGGGAAGGCCCTGAAGGATTGTAGACAGGAAAGTGTCATGAATCACATTTCTGTTTTAGGAAGAGTACTGGGCAGCGATGTCAAAGCTTGATTAGAATACAGGAGGTTAGGAGACTATTACGGTAATCTACTTGAGCAATAGGAGGTTCTGAAATCATCGGTATAGATGAAGTGGCATAGAGGAAGTGGACACATTCCAAAAATATTAAGGAGGAAAAAGAAGAAGTAAGCTGGAAGAATTCATAATGGCCTTAGATGAAAGAATAAATAAAGGGTGTTTAGACCAGTTGTCTTTCAAATGAGGTCTGCATGTCCCCGGGGTTGTACGAAGCTTTCCAAGGATTACCTGGGAACAGGTAGTTTTAAAGTAATTTCCTGGAGCACAATTTACATATCCTTATTCCTAAAATTGTTCTGCCTGAGAAGTCACCTAGGATCATATGGGTTTGTCATTGCCACACTCACTTTTGCAATCCCCTTTCTTTCAAATTATAAAAGAGGCTCACCTCTCACTCATCCCAACCTGACCAAAGTATACTGCCCCAGGGTGTAAAAAGTTTCTACCAAATAAAGGAGCATTCCCAGTATTGGTGTTTGGTGTTGAAACACTCTTTGACTTTAATGCCTGGGAAATATGTTCTTTGATAATTGGAGGGGGTCTTTGCTATGAGCTAAATTGTAGGACCTGTTTAAGTTTCTAAGTGGTAAATAAATACAAACAAAGACCACTAATTGATTTGGGGGCATGTAATTCAGAAGTGTGACTGCTATAATAATAATCCCTCTTCCATGTAAAACTGTGAAGAAAGATTTTCAGTGCTTACATGTGTAGCAAGATTCTTTTCAGGGCAAGCTGAGCAAAAAATGCTGAAGATCACTAGCAGAAACGGCAGAAGAAGCCAGACCATGACTGGGCTGGGTGAAAGGTGGTGATGCTAAGTTCGGTTTTGGACACATTGATAATGTGATGCTGTTGGATATAAAGATTGTGTCTTTGAGGCTGTCAGGAAAAATTGTGAAACAATTTAAAATGGGAGGAAAAAGATAAGTGGGTATCCTGGGGTTAAAAAAACAAACAAAAGAGTACTGGGTATCCAGTCTGGCTTTTCCATCAGAGTTATCTTCCGCCTTCATTGTCTTTCAGCTATTTTACTGCTCTGTAAATTGTTGAAAACTGAATGCAAATTGTGTACATATTCTACACTAACTATATATCATTTTATAATCAGGGGAAACGGCAATAAAACCATTTTCATTTTGGAACAAATGGGTGGTACATAGGAAATGTAGTTTAGTTACAGAATTTTTAGCAAATAGAGAGTGATAGCTTCCAGGAGCTAGTCTTTAAACCATTCTACAAGAACTTTTAGCAGATTACTTCATCAGAAGCAGTCTCTGAAGCATTACTTTCTTGTCAACTTCTATCATTGTATCTACTCCCTGACAGATGCTAAAAAACAGGTTCTTTAATCACTTTTGGTTTTTTTTTTTTAGGTTATTAAGATGTGGCTCTCTCAAGCTGACCACGCTAATGCTAAAGTAATTTTGTCAGAAATCCTTATGCCTCTGATCCAAAGGAAGCAAAAATCACAGAATTATCTTCTCGGGAAGAAGTTTCTAAACATCGTGATCTGTGGGGTATGGTTGACAATCTGAAGGGTAACATTGGTATTCAGGCCTGGGAATTGTTTGCCCACTAATGTCCTCTAGGTTCCATTTAGAAAGACCTGAAAAGGAAGTCTGAAGTGCTCAAAATAATAAAAATAAGTGATCATAGGAGAGAAGCAAAGTAGGAAAAAAACCAATCTGTTCCATCTGTACATCCACTAATGTTAAATAACATAGGGCAATAAAATATATTGCCCTATAGAAACATTTACAAGAGTTGTTGACAGAATATTTTTAAAGAACTTGGAGGGCAGTCATCCCAAATAGCTGTGGGAAGGAGGTAGAAAGGAAACCCATGACACATATCAGTTCTTATTGGGTGTGTATTGTGTGGACACTGCAATAGATACAAAATACAGAATAATCACCATACAGTGTGTATCAACTCAGTTGGTATCCTGGGCTGAATTTTAATAAAGAGAATATTTACCAATTATGTGATACTCAACAGCTCCGTTATTGCCAGCATCCATATCAGAAGCCAAAAGAGTGTAGACAACCCCTGGTTCTTGGTTTTCCAGAATCTCGATGTTGTGAATGGGGACAATAATCTCTGGTCCATGATCATTGTCATCTTCCACAGTACAGAGAATGGTTGTGGTGCCGGACAATGAAGGGACTCCCCCGTCTCGTACAAGTACTGACATGGAATAAAAGATGGCACAGATGGTAGCCATTAATTCATACCTAAAATATATTGCCCTTAAATAGATAGTATCAGACCAAACTAACAGGTGGCACTGGGTCAATAATATTTTATTTAAAGACACCCTACTGAATTGTAAAATTTCACCACTAAACCTCTTGCTACCTATTTTTTGCTTGTTTATTTAGCAGAGTCAACGGACCCCTTACCTCGAAGGATGAAGACTTCCTGCACTTCTCTGTCAAGGGTGGTGGTCGTCACCACCTCTCCGGTGTCAGGATTTATCTCAAACAGCCCAACCGATGCACCTGGTATGATTTCAAACTGAAGCTTAGAATTGATTCCTTAAGAAAAATATAAAGAAAACTTTTAGCAATTATCCCTTTGGAATCCACTCGTCTGTTCTCCTACTCTGTTTCTATGAATGTGTTAGGGGATAGATGAAAAAGGCAAGACTTTTAAGCAACCATCAAATTAAGGTTAAAAAAACCCAACAAACTCTTTTGGCTGTTCTTGCTAAATAAAAGCCTCATGGGCTGAAATGCTTGATTTTCAAAAGTCTTATGAGACTTCCCCACAGTGAATGCTTAAGATTTTTTCCCTCCCATAAAAAACTTCTTATGAGTGTGCAACCCTACAACATATTCCTAATTACTCCTTCTAACACCCCGATTGTGATTTAATGGCATAATTGTAAGCTTACAGGGCAAAGGACAGTTTCTGTAGATTGACCTCCTATCAGAGCTTGTGCTCGGTTATGGCACTCTTTATTCTCCAGCACAGGGGGCGAGCAGAGCTGCTTCTATGAGGATTGTTTTGTTTTCTGCGTAGTACTGTCTCCTATCTGGAGTGAGAAATGTGGTACCACACTATTACGCATTTTGAAAATAATTCTTCCCATATTTTTGTGGTTTCATTTCTCCCCTGAGAAAACTATCAGGCCATTTCCATCATTGGTTGTGAAGACCATTCATACCATTAACTTTAATGAGTTTATCCCCTGCTATTGTAGCTTGTTTGCACTTTACACAAGTTCTTTCTGATCATTTTACTATGTTCTTTTCTTAGCTGACAAGAATCTAAGCATATATATAGGGCTTAAAATATAGGATTTCTATACTTTAATAAAAATGAAATACTGTTATTTGGCCTTAACAACAACAAAAAATCAATTACAAACTTCTATCTTGCCAGTCTTAAAAAGTGAATTTTCATCTCACTGTGGTCTGGTGGATATAATATAGGACCGAGTACTGAAAGGAATGGAATGGAATGTTAGTTTTATATAAGAATAAATATATATGTCTTCTAACCCTGTCACTTGAAAAAGAAAGGCTATTTGAGATAATCTGCAGGTATTCTAATGACTTTGAAAAAAGTCTAATAAGGTAGGATGAATGTATTTGGTATGACATGGTCAGAAGTTACCGAAATATTTCATTCTATCATTAGGCATTAGACATACTATTACATTATTCATTATTTAATAACCATAGTGATTACTTTGACCTCATAATGATCACATAATCTCTTCTACAGCCAAGACAGAATTTCTAAAAATTCTAGGTTGATAAAGCTTGTTATTCTGTCTACCTCTTCCTACATTATAAAAATGGGAACAATACCATCTTACATCTACTTCCATGTTCCTCAAATATTTGGTGACCAAAATTAGGCGACAAGTATAGTGTTAATTTGCCAAAGAGACAGTGGCGAATTAAACAGGTATAGCCACTGCTTTTGTGGAGTTTACATGGAGAACAGCACCTTTTAATTTTTGGACCTTTTGTTTTTGGAATAAATTCCCTTACTTATTATGACTTTATTATACATTATAAATTATATTATATTATATTATATATTCTTTTAATTCCCAACACTTGTCAAATCTAGGATATATCTTCAAATATCTAAACAAACTCAAATCTTTCTGTTTTCCCTTCCTTCCATTGTTCATATTATTCTCTAATGTGCTTTACCACTGTAACCAATATTTTCCTGACTTTTTAGAAACGTTCAGATTTTATGATTTCTACTATTCTATATAGCTTTTGTCCCTACCTTCAATCCTCCTAGTGTATTATTAAAGATAAATCAGATTGTTATTATTAACTGTAGTTTGCATACATGCATTTTCACACTCCAAACTTCATACCCTTCACAACTTAATGTGAAATCAATTTGAAGTATTTTACTTGATGACACACACCTAGTGAAGGGTGTGTGTGTGTGTGTATGTATGTGTGTGTGTGTGTGTGTGTGTGCACCTCTGTCTGTGAACCCATATGGATATCTGCTCTTAGACCCTAAGACCTGTAGGACCCACTCAGCCTCTAGGATACCCCTCCTCAATTCATTTCTTTCTCTTTCCAGGACCGCCCCATGAATTATCACTTTAGCAACCTTGCACATCTCTTCAGGTCCCATGGCTTTTTGTCAAAGATGTCCAGCAAAGAAAGCCTCAACTCAAAATCATTCCAACCATCTCTCTGCCTGCTTTGAATATCCAGCAGAAAACTTGGGCTGAAGAAAATTTCACAACAGTGTAGCTTGAGGCCACTGAAATGTCACTGTCACCTGGCGATCTTACCAAATCTCCTTGGTCACCCCTCTCCATTCGTGTCTCCTACCCAAACACCTCCTGGCTCACTCTGAGAAATTCCTCCCCTTCCTATTTCCCAAAGACAGTGGAAGTACTGGGAAAGAGCTCCCTCAACTTTCTATGTCTGTGTTCAACTTGACTTTCTGCTTTCTGTCTCAATGGCAAAAGTAATTCTTCAAATGCTTTCTCTTGGAATTTTCCTGTCAATTCTCATCTTTCCCTTAAACTATATTATTCTCAAGTTATAAAAGTCAAGATTTTTCTGATTCCCTTTATAGCCAAACTTATTTTAAAAATTCTATCCATTCTCTGCAGCTAGTTTCAAACCACTACCATACCTAGGTACTGTTTCTACTGTCACAAATGACCTTCTGGTTATAAAACCTACTGGCCATTTTTAGTTCTAACCTTCAGATATTGCTGACTGATGTTAAAAATGACAGAAAAGAAGGAACAAAGGAGAGAGGAAGGGAGAGGAAAAGAAAAAAGAAGGAGGAAAAGAGGAAAAGGAATTCATTTTACTTCGCTCCCAATCCACTGGCTTCAGTTTCCATTCTTGGGCAGATGACACCCATGTGTCTGCAATGAGCTCCAGTTATTTGGTTGTTTCATTCATTCATTCACTCATGCATGCATGCATGCATATGTTCTTTTATGTAATGCATATTTACAGAGTGCCAGGCACTGGAAAGGTAACACTGAACAATAAGTAATTATCTTGGCCCTCAAAGTTCCCCTCTAGTGGCGGAGATGATTAAATCAATGAATTATAGACAGTGTGGTAAAATATATTAAAGTACTGAGGAAGTGGGGAAGGCCAAGTGGTTCAATTGGTTAAGAGCTCGCTCAAGAGTGTGAGCTCTGAGCAACAGGGTCACTGGTTCAATTCCCGGCCCGAGCTGAGCTGCCGCTGAGCTGCCAACAGGTGTCAGGATGGCTCAGCTAAAAAAAAAAGTACTGAGGAAGTGGATCAGGGAAGACTTACCACAGGTAGATAGTTCGTTCTTTAATTATCTCAGTCAATAAATATATATAGAAAGTGATAGTCGGTGCCAAGGTACCACACCAGGTGCTAAGAATATACCAGCTAGCAAGAAGACAAATTCTCTGCTCTCACAGAGCTTACAATATAGCACTGGATACAGATAAGTAAGAAAGCAATTAACGATTCCATGTGATAAGAGATGACCAAATATAAGTTGCTTTTTGTATAAGCTGAGACCCTAAAGATGAATAGGATGTAATGGGTAAGAGGGGAGAAAGTGTGTTGGCCCCAAAGGGACATCAGAGAGAGACTGAGAGTCAGAAGGGGAGGAGACAGGCCTTCCTTTCTCCTGCTTGCTTTCTGTCCCTATCAGCAATGCCCTTTCACCTGGCTCCAGCAACTGCTCACAGCTTTCAATCTCTTTGGTACTCCCAGTACCAGGCTCTCCAATCCCCCCTCTCTCATTTTCTTCCCAGGTTCTGAAAACCTCACCCTCTTCTCCTTGTTTCCCAGTATCAGAGGTGGTAGCTGCTTCCTACAGTTATTTTTCCTGGGTTACTTCAAGATTCCCTTTTTGTTTTCCTAGCCTTCCAACATCTGTATTGTAACATCTGGTTTCCTGACTGCACTTGACTGATACAGTAGCTGGCACCAGGAATGGGATCCAGGTAATAGGGACTCTGGGTCTGGTTTGGTTATATCGTTGGTCTTGAATGCATTGCTGAGTTCCTTGCACATGGGAAATAGAATACTAGTAATTTCTCATTTGCAATTATATCACAATCAATTAAATTATCACCTGGGTTAGATTGTGATGAAATGACTATTAAAGCATTCAAATTTCTTAGAGGACCAAATGGTGCTGACTTGGGCCATATGATAATGAAAAGGAATATGATGTGAGATGGCTATTTCTGAAGGTACTAGGAACTTACAGAAAGAAAATTACAAGCTGAAGCTTTAAACTCTCAACTCAGTCATAGTTAGAAAACCAGAAAGCTTCTGGTTTTTATGGGACTCCTAAAATTAATCTCCTTAAAGACCAGACCCAAACTGAGTGGCAGATACAAGAGATAACTTCTTGCAGGGGGAATGCCTACTGATCTGAAGACCCTAGAGTCACATCTCAACAAATTGTAGGAATTCACATGCAAATCTCACTCAGTTAGAGACACTTATAGTTTCAAAAGAATATAAAGAATTTTCTAACTTATATTGGAATACACCTGGGGAATATGTGTGGAAGTCATTTCTAAGGATGTAAGACCCAGGAAGATAAAATATAACTTTGGTTTAGGCCAGATTTATTTATGTGGTGTGCTTACCATAGATTCTAAATTTAATGTGTTATCTCATATAGTTACGTCTCTTGACAGTTTCTTTGATTGACCGCAATCATTAGAGGCCTATCATCACTGAGCCTGAGATGCCAGATCTTCTTTTGTATACTATAAAGATTCTAAAAGCTTAAGGAGATGGAAATGTTAAGATGGATTTACCATGGGTGACATGCCCACCACTCTCCCCCACTACATTTCCCCAATTCAGAGGACTCTCCCTTCATTAAGACTCTGGGAAAGACATAGGTTAGAGGGACAGCAGCATCCTCTAAAAGCCATCTGGGAGTTGTCGCTATGTAGCTTGTAGATATGGCGCCACTGGTCCAGGGAACGACCTTTTGAAAACTAATACTCTATATCAATTTTGTGATTTGCTTTCACCCAGAAGGAACAACAGAGTATATCTTTACGTATACTCTTTCACTATCAGCCATCATACTCAACAGAGATACTGATCAGCTTGGCATCCAGTAGAATATCATATTAATCCACTCCCTTGATGACATAATAATTGGATCTGGTAAGTAGAAAGTAACTTAGATGTCTTAATTAGATGTATGTGTTAGACCAAAAGTCAGCAAACTACAGCCCACTGGCCAAATCCAGCCCCCACTTTTTGTAAAGTTTTGTTGAAACAGAGCCACACTCATTTCTTTATGTATTATCTATTGCTGTTGTCTTGCTGCAATGACAGAGTAACAGAGACCCTGTGACCTTCAAAGCCTAAATCATTGACTATCTCACCCTTTACAGAGAAGTTTGCAGAACCCTGTCCTAGAGTAAAGGGTGAGAGAGCGAGAGGAGTTGAGAATACAGAGGAAACCTAGAGCCACTTCATAAAATGCCTCGTTGTTAAGCTAAAAGAGAATAGAACTTTATCCTCAATACCACGGGGAATTAATAAAGAATTCTGAGCAGGAAAGCGCTCTTTTCAGGTATGCTTTTTAGGAAGATTATTTTTCATTCAATCCCTCAACTGTACAACGCCACACAACTCAGCCATTTCTACAGCAAAAATAGGATCGTGCCTGGTTGATGGAATGAAGGAATAAATGGGTATAAGTGAATGAATTCTGAAGAGTGAAGGCAACTTGAAACAGCTTATTTCCCAGATGCTCCAGTTTTTCAGGTCACATCGTCAAAAACATTTACTGAGCTCCTAGGTCATAGTTTGTACTATTTGGGACCTGGATAAAAGTGAGTAAAAGTGTCCTGAATCCACAACAAGTCCACAGTCTAAAGGGTAGGCAGACAAGTAAACAATTATACAATTCCAGTACTGTGTATTAAATGAAATGAGACTATATATTTGATATAACACTGATTTTCTCTTGGTAGGTAAAGTTATGAGTAATCCTTATTTTTGTTTTCTTTTTCTGTTTACTATTTCATTAAGCCAAGACACACTTTTTTTTTTCACATTTTAACATTTCTGAAATTAGATGCATTTTACAATTAATGGTGCCCTAGAGTCCATGACATAGATGAAATACTGTCATGGCAGTGTCCCTCCCTTGCTGCAAGTATAGGCTGTTGAGTGTAATTGTTCATCGAATGTTGAGACATTTTTCCAGGAAACCAGATGTAGAGCTTATTCAAGATAAACCCAGGTAGAGAATACATGTCTATGAAATAGAGAATAAGCGCTCATTATAGAATTCAACATTTTGGATGGCCATGTACTGTAAAATTATTTTGTATTCACCGCTAACGAGCAAAGGTGTCATCCAGGAGTGAGTCATCTTTCCTGGGGGGCACCCTTGTTTCAGAAGCGGAAAGCGGCCCCCTCAGGGAAGATCTTTCTTCAGTAACAATGGAGCTCTTGTTGGTGGCTCCGAATGCTGCAGCAGTTTTAACATCTTAGTTACAACCTGGCAGTTGTTTTTCCCTTTTAATACAAGAAAAAAACTGCTGTTAGAACTAGTGTGCGTCATACACCATAAACATTCAGTGCTTGAATTCCCATGGGTTTTGAAGGCCAACACTTTAGGCTTACATTTTTTTAAAAACTGCACTGTAGAATGCTAGAAAACATATGTTAAGCTTTCTAGTATTAAGTAATGCTATAGTATTTTTAAAAATACGTACTATAAAGTAAACCATTCATAAATTCCAATGTGATGCCAGTTATGTTAAAATCTTGACTACGTCATTTAATTCTCATGCATAATCCTTTTTCATTGTTTTAGCCAACAAGCAGAAAAAAAGAGAGAGAGAGAAAAAGATTGAGGGAAAATAAGTTCAAAAGATCACGCATACACACACACTCACGTGCATTTACATAACCACTTGCTTAGCAAATCTGGCCTCATTAAAAACACGGAGATTTCCAGTAAACTGAAATTGTCTCTAGAACATGTGAATGTACAAGAGATTCATGAAAATGCTGATGTGTATTTCAAACAGCCATATATGCAGAATCAGAAAAACAATAACTTTACATTTAAATTTCCCATCCGGCAAACCATAATCTCTAGAATAATGAACATTCAATTCAAGTAACAGATTGCAGACTATCGATACTAAAAGAAACTAACACTAACCTTAGGCAACTTGACAGTAAAAATCAGGAAGCATATTTATGGTAATCATCTTTAGCTGATATATGCAAAAACTTGAAATTCTTCCCTCTCTTCAAACATTAAAGCAAGAGATACTTCCAGTTGAGTCCATTACAAAAAATACAATTAAGAAGCTAAAGTAAGGTCAAGGGGAGAAAGGATTTACACACTTGAATAATTGCTAATTTGCACCTCACTGACACGTCCGTTTGGCACGTGTCTGTGTACTATGGGAAGTGGCTTCTAAGGTGCCCAGAGCCCTGTGCTACTCAGCTCACACCGAAGCACACTCTAAAAGAATTTTACTGAACTGGAATTATGGTGAAACACAATGCTTCTGTATATTCTTCCTTGTTTCTGTCACCCTAAAAACCATATGGCAAGAAATGTGCTAAATAAATTCTTTAAGTGCTGGTCAGGCAGGACAAACAGTTGTTAGCATGTGCTAGTCCTATGTGGTTGAGCATAGTAAGAAAAATTGTTTGATCATACTGCCCCGCTCTGGTCAAAAGAGAGAAAATTAAGTTAGTCCTTAAAAATAATTTTTGTAGCCTCACATCCAAATTCATGTAAAATGCATTTCATTAAAAGACGGTGTTTCCAAAAGGGCAAAGCATCTAAATGATATGTAATTTAAATTAAAACATCAAGGAAATGTATCTTTTACCCCTTTGAAACAGGAGGACATGCTAGTATTAATTCTATTTCTCCATAGAAATATATATTACAATTCTTATAAGGAAAGAATACAATATTATACTGATTATCTAATGCCACTTGCTATATACAAATGTGAATTTCAAAAGACTGGCTTATTAAACTATTCACATGAATTCAGATGGGAAAATTTGGCATATTTTGTTAATTTGCAAATACTTCACTGTAATTTTTATGATTATTTTATTTAAAGTAAAAACAGAATATTATTAAAGGTACTGAAACTTAAATGCCAAAAACATCATAGTGAAACTAAAAAGCAATTCTAAGAAATTTACAAGTTCCTAGCCAAAGTAACCATTTACTTCAAAGTCATTTGTATCGTCACAGTGGTTGACATTAATAATGTAGTAATATATTACTAATAATGTGGTTGACGTTGATAATAGTAATGACAGAAGCTAACATTTATTGACCATTTATTGGGCCGGACACTGGCCTTAGTTCTTTACATGTAATAAACACTTCATACTTATAACAGAACTACAAATTTGGCATTATTATCTTCCCCGTTTTACAGATAAGCAAACAGAGGATTAGTAAGTTGTTGAAGGTTACACAGCTGAAATAAATGGTAATTGTAGGATTCAGACCCAGGCAGTCTGATGCCTGCATCCTAGTCCCTTCTACTTATGCTATCTAGAGAGTAAACAACCATTTGCTTTCTTGTACTCAACGTATCTATTACACTCTGAAAAAAGTGTCATATCTCATCTATACTTCTGCTTATTATCAAGATCAAATCAATAAACTATATGTTAATAGCTGTGTATCACTCTACCATAAACAATGATAAAGATCAATACAAGAAAATGATAGATAAAAGCACATATTATCTTTACATGTGGATGAGTATGTTAATTAAAGAGATATTAGAAGTTTGAGATCACTAGCAACTGTTTTCATTTTTCTGGGGCATTACTAATTTAAACTACGTCATTTTTTTGTTTGTTTTTGTTTTTAGCATTAATTACTTAGTGTCCATATTTTAAAATTACCTGAATCTCTGTCAGTAGCCTCAACCCTTGTGACAAACTCCCCTGGACTTTGGTTTTCTTTAACTGCAGCTTCATACAGGTGCTGCTTAAATACCGGTGCCTCATCGTTTACGTCATGAACAGTAATTGTCAATGTCTGGGATGAAGAAAGTGCTGGGGTGCCACCATCCTGGGCCAGAAGGGTCAGGATGTGCTGAGTTTTTATTTCATAATCCAAAGAACAAGTTGTAGTTAGTAAGCCTGTTTTGAAAGAGGAGAAAAGCAATATGTAATAAATATTCCTTAGAGAAGTCCCGCTTACCCTACCGAGGCCTAACTTACCTAACTTGCTAAAAACTCAGAAGCTTTTTTTGTTAAGGAATAAATCTTATTAAACCAGCTTTAAATGTATATATTAACTAAATAAGAAAAAGATAACATTTTTAGTCAGAAGAGCCATCCTAATTTAAACTGTAAGGGTGAATGAGAATTCAGAAGTAATCTATCATATACCATAATTTACTGAGGCAATCACTTCAAAATGATTTCTCTACCCAACATCTACCTTCACTTAAAAAAATATCTAGGTTCTAACAGTATACATCTTCAAGTCGAATGACTATTCATATTCACCATGACCAAGTTACAATAAGGTGAGTCTGGCTATATTCTTTAAAATATTTACTTTTTGTTAAAGAGTTACAATCTCTTTATACTTAGTTAACTGTCTTTTTTGTTAACAAAAATAGTAAAGACTTTATAACTCAGACAATAAATTTCATGAATAAAACATGTCTCCATCTTACTACCACTTACACATATAACTTATATAAACAAATTGTTATAAAGACTTGTATACATATAGCTATTACATGATTTCAATTGTCACTTTGTTTTCAAAGACTGATGTTTGCTTCTCTAACACATGTTCATCCTATAAGAAATTTCCTTCAAATAATTAAAGAGGTTTACCACTTCAGATTTGATAAAAGTTTCCCATGATTACTTATTACTTCATACTTCACAGCCAAAAGCCACTGAAAAACTCACGGTCTTCTTAAGAAATGTGAGCCTTCTGAGAGAAACAACAGCCCATCTTATACGGATACATGCAGCAATGATCATTTTATGTCTTTGAAAAATATCTCAAGTGAAACAACCACTGCAATCGTTCAAGATTCATGATGCCTATATTCCTGAGACACAGTTCTAATTTTATACATCCTCTTTAATGATCTGAAATAGACCTTCCTTAGCCATCGTGGAAAACATTTTCAGTATCGTTGAAACAGGACCTTGGAGACTCCAGCTCTAACAGAAATCAGCAACTGGGTCTGGACTATCTCTCTGTCAGTTGGACTCTTAGGTGGTATCCATGCATGCTTTAGAATGGAACCATATGCACAAGATTTAATAAATATTTTGATAAAATTTTTCAACAGTATATAGCCAGACTATAATCATGACTTCCAAATCCTACGCATTTGGTCCCATTCCAAATTATGGTCTTACTAACAGTTGGGCCAAATAGTAAACATTTTTTTTCTAAGGCTCCTGCAGAAATGATTTTATTTTTTAGAGAATGAGATGGTAGTCCATCTTTTCAGTATCTCCTGAAAATCAAGTTGAGGTAAGTTCATTTCAAATTTCACAAGAATGACACTTTATACATATAACCTTACATCAAACTAGATTAAAACTTCTAATAGATGTTATCTGGCAACATTGGTGACAGCAACACAAGTGACAAGTGAAGTGACAGTGACATTTCTGCAGATTGCTTGACAGTGAATCAATGCTTCTGTGAAAAATAAAGTAGCACAGCAGAAGTATGGTTCTTAATGCTCAAATCAATCCAACCATTCAAAAACACATTATTTCCAACTACTTACAAATATATATTTGTATGATCTTAAAGATAAGTTTTAATATTAAAGTCTTTGAAAACGCTGTTGATTGATCATATTTTACTTTTTAGTACTTTTGGTACCATCTCCTATTCTCTGAGGAAACACAGTACTGTATAGTCATCCCACGAAATGTGAGCTAGCTACAAAGTGTAGTCAATATTAGCAAACAGGCCTTTTACAGTTCATTTTCTGAATACAACCCCTGTGCCTATCATATATGTATTTAAATCAAGTCACATTTTTTGAAGCTTATGCACCTTGAGAACTATCATTTTAACAGAGGAAAATGAAGAGGATACATGTAAGCAAGTGACCAGAGGCTTTCACTGACAGGGACATATACGGTACCTGATGACTCATCTAGCATAAAGGCCATGTTTTCATTTCCTGAGAGGATGCTGTATGTCACTCTTCCATTCCTTCCTTCATCTGGATCCTGAGCAGTGACACGGTGCACCAAGGAGCCCACCATGGCATCCTCTTTGACATGAGCAATGGGGAAAGACATAAAAGTGGGGCTGTGGTCATTTACATCCAAAATCACCACCTTTGCCATCAGCGATCTTAATCGCCGGTCTGTCACATTCACAGCCTGATCAGATGCAGTTACTGTCAGGAGGACAGTCGGAACTCTCTCTCTGTCAAGGGGGGATGCAGTGACTAACGTGCCGAATGAGGGGTGGATGAGAAAAGGGTTCATTCTGGGGTGGTGGGATTCAATGAAGTATTGTATCCTACTATTCAAAAAGCTGCCATCTCCATCTTTGGCATTGAAAACATGCACCAGGGTCCCTATAGGGACATTCTCTTCTACGTTTATCACAATGAACTCATCTTGGAAAGATGGGGAATGGTCATTCTGATCTTCCACATCAATACTGAGGAAGACGGTGCTGTTCAGGGGAGGGGTTCTGCTATGGTCGTTAGCGACCACCCTGAAGAGATAATGAGATGTTACTTCATAGTCAAGAGCCTTAGAAAGAAACAAGTCCCCTGTTGAGCTGTCGATTTCAAAGTGACTATCCTTGTCATCCGCAGCGATACTAAAGTGTAACTTTCCATTGTGATGTTGTTGAAAGTGATCAGGTGACTTTATCAAGCTCATGATTTTTGCAGGCTTCAAGTTTTCCGGTATAACTAAATGTCTAATATTCTGAGAAATGGTAGCTCTCCCTTTGGGTAGTGGTATCACCTGGAATAAGAATTAAAAGGAGCTGTTAATTTTGGGGCATTTTTTAACAGTTGAATCAATCCATGTGGTGATATTATTTTGGAAGCTAACTCAATTTCTGTGAAATACATGAAAATTGGTGAGAAAGTGTAGTTTTTATTATATAATTCCAGCACATCTCTAAAAATTGAAAATTGCATAGTATCTAGGAGATAAAAAAAGTACAGCATTTCCCACTTTCTGTTTGTTTTAATGTGTGAGAGATGATAGTTTGGTGAGGCCATGCTATGGTTCAGCTGAACTGTAGCTTGTGATTCTTCAATGAGAATGTCGTATAGCTAGTTACCAGATTACTCTAAATCCTAGACAGCACTATAATCATAATGACAACATCTGTGTACTTTTCTGTACAATGTGTCTTTGTTTATCTGAAACCAGAGGCTTAAGAAATTACGATATAGAATTTTCTTCTAACCCACATATCCTCTACCAGTAAAGAATAAAATTTGGAAACAGAACTCGTGGCCATATGTATTCTTGATTATTATACATACCAATATTAATATTACTGATTATCAGGTGCACGAACAAATATATCTGGCTATGCCCAGTCATCTTAGTTTTGACTGGCTGGTGTAATTTTTTCCTACTATGAAGACTTCCCACAACTTGTTTGCTCATTCTGATTAAAGTAAAGCTTTCGAATATGGATCCCAAGTGACTCTTCTAGTTTAAAAATAATTACAGCTTAAAAGTAATTAAGTACTTAAGAGTAATTAAGTTTAAAAATAATTACAAAAAAACTATGTGGTTTATTACTGGCAATTTGTTTACATGCAAGTTTCTCCTGCAAATTTACCACATCTTTGCAATTAGGGGAAAGTAAAAGAAAAGACACGTTTTGTTTTTCATAAACCAAACAACATAAATGCCCATTGAGTGAGGAAGCTAAGTATCTTCTCAGGAACAGTACAAAGTTGAAATAAATAGTTATTTGTGTCTCATCATTTCTCTAGTGATAATAAAAGACACACATATCTGGGCAATGAACTCTAAACATAGTATTCATATATGTAATGTGTCTGCACTCATATAGTTGTATAAAAATCAAACAGAACCTTAGAACCTTCTTCCACATTTTATGGTGATGATGAAACATTACCTGAATATTAATAACCGCTTGTCCTTGAAGAGGAGGCACTCCCTGGTCACTGGCAATGACAGTTATCCTGTAGGAAGGTCTATAATCATACAAAAGGATTGCGGTTGTTCTTATTTCACCGTTGTTGGCATCAATCTTGAAGTGATCAGAACCATCTTCTATACATACACACACAAAAACAGATGAAGTTAATGTTAATTGACAATGCAGAAAACATAAAACTAATTAATCCAAATCCACCTGCGATCATTTGGAAGATGTATCTGCCTTAAGCTCTGGGAGAGAAGGAACATTAAAAAAAATAATACTAAAAATATACACAAGAAACATAACAGATTTTTACATTTTTTTGGTACGGAATTTTCAAACATATATAAAAGTGTACAAAATGATATAATGAACTCTCATGTGCTTATCACATAGATTCTATAATTATCAACTCATGGCCAATCTTTACTTCTCATTCATAGATTTCCCTTCTCTGTCCTTCCCCAGTACATATAAAAGTTATGTTTATACTCTACTGTAATCTATTAAGTGTGCAATAGCATTATGTCTAAAAAAATGCACACACCTTAGTTAAATAAATATTTTACTGCTAAAAAGTGCTAACCTTCATCTAACCTTTCAGTAAGTTTTAATATTTTTGCTTAGTGGAGGGTCTTGCCTCAATGTTGATGGCTAATCAGGATGGTGGCTGCTGAAGGTCGGGGTGGCTCTGGTAATTCCTTAAAATAAAACAACAATCAAGTTTGCCGCATCAATTGACTTTTCCTTTCTCAAACAATTTCTCTGGAGCATGCAATGCAGTTTAGTAGCATTGTACCCACAGGAGAACTTTCAAAATTGGAGTCAATCCTCTCAAATCCTGCCACTGCTTTATCAACTAAGTTTATGTAATATTCTAAAGCTTTTGTTGTCATTTGAACAATCTTGACAGCACCCTCACTAGAAATAGATTCCATCACAGGAAATTACTTTCTTTACTCATCCATAAGAAGCCACTGCTCATTGATTAAAGATTCATGATGAGATTTTAGTAATTCAGTCACATCTTCAGGATCTACTTCTAATTCTAGTTCTGTTGTCATTTCCACCACATCTGCAGTTACTTCCTCCACTGAAGCCTTGAACCCCTCAAAGGCATACATGAGGGTTGTAATCAACTTCTTCTAAATTCATTTAATGTTGATATTTTGACCTCGTCCTGTGAATCAAAAATGTTCTTAATGGCATCTAGAATAGTGAATCCTTTCCAGAAGGTTTTCAATTTACTTTGCCCAGATCCATCAGAGGAATCACTAGCTATAGCAGCTATAGCGTTACAAAATGTATTTCTTAAATAATAAGACCTGAAAGTCAAACTTATTCCTTGGATCCATGGGCTGCAGAATGAATGTTGTGTTAGGAGGTATGAAAACAACATTAATCTCATCGTACATCTCCATCAGAGCTCATGAGTGACAATGCACGTTGTCACTGAGCGGTAACATTTTGAAAGGAATGTTTTCTGAGCAGTAGGTCTCAACTGTAGACTTAAAATATTCAGTAAGCCATCATGTTGTGAACAGATGTGCTGTCATCCAGGCTTTGTTGTTCCATTTATAGAGCTCAGGCAGAGAGTAGATTTAGTATAATTCTCACTAGGATTTTTGATATGGTTAATTAGAATTGGCTGCCTTAGCCCCTAACAAGACAATCAGCCTGTCCTCTGAAGCTTTGAAGCGCATTGACTTCTCCTGTCTAGCTATGAAAGTCCTAGATGGCATCTTATTCCAATAGAAGGCAGTTTTGTCGACACTGAAAATCTGTTGTTCAGTGTAGCCACCTTCATGAATTGTCTTAGTTACATTTTCTGGATAACTTGCTGTCGCTTCTACATTAGGACGTTCTGCTTCACCTTGAATTATTATGTTATGAAGACTTCTTTCCCTAAAACTCATGAACCAACCTCTGCTGGCTTCAAACATTTCTTCTGCACCTTCCTCACATCTCTCAGACTTGATAGTTTTGAAGAGAGTTAGAGCCTTGCTCTGGATTAGACTTTGGCCTAAGGAAATGTGGCTGATTTGGTCTTCTATGCAGACCACAAAAACTTTCTCCATATTAGCAATAAGTCTTTTACTTTCTTATCATTTGTTTGTTCACTGGTGTAGCACATTTAATTTCTTTCAAGAACTTTTCCTTTGCGTTCACAGCGAGGCTAACTGGCACAAGGGGCTTAGCATTAGGCCTACACAGCTTTCGACATGCCTTCCTCAATAAGCTCAATCATTTCTAGTTTTTGATTTAAAGTGAGAGATATGTGACACTTCCTCACACTTCAACACCTGCAGGCCACTATAGGGCTATTAATTGACCTAATTTTTGTAGTTTTGTGTCTCAGAATATACACATCTATTGTTTAAGTTTGCCATCTTATATGGACATGAATCATGGAGCCCCAAAACAATTACAACAGTAACATCAAATCATCATAACAAATATAAGAATAATGAAAAACTTTGAAATATTGTGAGAATTACCAAAATGTGACACAGAGACATAAAGGAAGGAAATGGTTTAAAAATGATGCTGATAGACTTGCTCAACACAGTGTTGCCATAAATCTTCAATTTGTGAAAAACACCATATCTGGGAAAAGGAATTAAGTGAAGTGAAATAAAATGAGGTATGCCTCCATCAGTTGTGATTTCCATGCTTTGATCCATTTACTTTATTTTCACAGGACTACTGTAGAATACTTTTATGAATGTGATACCTATCTTTGTTCCCATTATATAGATTTTTATCTTATTTTGTCTTATATTTAGCAGTTGCTTCTATTTTACAATTGGATAAAGTAAAAGCAAAGGTAGGAATAATATGATAGATATATTTTTTATATTGCTATGCCACAAGTGTTTTAGAAGCTAATGTTTTTAAAAAGTTAATGTCAAACATTCAGAAATATATGATCAACAGCCACATGAACACCTTCCAGATTGATCAATTCCATATATTTCTTCAAAAATGTTTAAAGAAACGACAGGGTTTAAGTACAGATGAGGACCTGTGTGTACCTCCAAATCTTACCCAGTCCTCTTTCTCTGTAAATAGCCTCTTTTCTAAAGTAGGGCTTATCTTTCTAGTCTTTATATCCATGAATAATATATAGCATAGTTTTATTTATAAATAATGGTGTCATAGTAGGATTATAGTTTAATATATTAATCTGTGTGTGTCTGTGTGTGTTTGTGTTAATCTGTGTGTGTCTATATGTTTGTGTTTGTGTAGTTTAATATATTAATCTGTGTGTGTCTGTGTGTGTTTGTGTTAATCTGTGTGTGTCTATATGTTTGTGTTTGTATAGTTTAATATATTAATCTGTGTGTGTCTGTACCATTGTCTTTCACAGGTATACCAAAAAGTGCATTCTTTACTCCAGCCCAAATTAAAACAGAAAGAAAAAAAAAGATAAAGATCTATGGACTAATTGACCTCTTGAATGCAAGCTTGCCAAGCCAGTTTTTCTTCCCCTTAGGACAGCAGTTCTCAACCTGTGGGTCACAACCCCTTTGGGGGTCGAACGACCCTTTCACAGGGGTCACCTAAGACCATCGGAAAAGACATATTTTCGATGGTCTTAGGAACCGAGACACCGCTCCTCTATCCGTCTCCATGCTTCAAGACAAAATTTCATTTATTTGTAATTAGAAATAAATATTTCACAATATATAATTACATATTGTTTTTGTGATTTATCACTATGCTTTAATTATGTTCCATTTGTAACAATGAAAATACATCCTGTATATCAGATATTTACATTACGATTCACAACAGTAGCAAAATTACAGTTATAGAGTAGCAACAAAAATAATTTTATGGTTGGGGGTCACCACAACATGAGGAACTGTATTAAAGGGTCGTGGCATTAGGAAGGTTGAGACCCACTGCCTTAGGATGAGATTAGAATGGGCTAAGGAAATGGGAATTGAAAGCTGAGTGGTGACTGATGGGAGGAGAAATAAAAATGGAGAGGGAATCTCCGAAGCAGGGGTGAGAACACAGAAAAACAGGTGTCCTCAAATGTGGACCTACTTCAGGTTCGTTATCTCTGGACAACCCACCATGTCATCGTTAGCGTATTGAACCTTCCCCAGCAGGAACATCATAGGCCTTTTATTTCATTCTTCTTTCATGTCTTTGTTAATATTTTGTAATTTTCTACATAAAGGTCTTAAGCATCTTTTATTGGAATTTTCCTCCTTGTGCTCCTAATCAGGATGACCCTGACTTCAGAGGTTTTGAAAATTATATAATTTGAGGGGCCCTCTTTAAGGAAAATAGAACAATATTACAAATATAAATTGTTCACTGGTTCCCAATTCCACCCTTGAAGAACCTGTGCAAGTGAATGGGCCTAAAGATTAAGCTTTGCTAGTTTCACAGTAAATCTGCCTGTACACCCTATGGTTTTCTTTGTTATATTAAACGAAATCTTTGAAAAGCTGCTTAGTTTTTAAAATGCTAGTGAATTGTGTATGTTAACATTGTTCCCAGAAATTTTTCATTTTATTAATTCCAATGTTTGCCTGCAGGATCTTTGGGGTTTTCATGTAGACACTTTATCTGCAGATAAAGGCAATGTTGTGTCTTTCTTTCCTATATTTTTTTCGTCAAACATGACAAGGCACTGAATGTCTTTAAAAATGACATAAAATACAATGTCAACTAAAGTTAATCAACTGGAACAAATCTGAGGTCCGTGCATTCTAAAATGAAAACACAGAGGTATGCCTGTCTCAATAAATTTCCCACATATACATACATTATGTACATATGTGACATTTTCTAGGTCTGATTTACTCTAATCTTAAGAATATTTAGTCTTCATAGAGCTTCCTAGATGCTTAGTATTCATAATCATATTTTTTTATCCTCAATACTACTTTCTATCCATTAACTACTACTTTCTTTTCAATAAAAGATGATTTGTGCTTCAGGCTACTGAAAATTATTTATTTATGGTGAATGGTTGGCTGGTTGGTTTCTATTTAGAGCACAGAAAAACTACTATGATCTTCCACTAAACTTCTAAATTCTTTCTTAAAAATAAAGGTGATTCTAGACAATAACAGATGTATTTTGTTTGTAACTTGGTGGTGTTTTTCAACATTAACTATTTTCCCAGAAGGAGATAGATAGCTGATAGAAGAAAGCGGAATTTCTAAAAGCTCTTGAGCCTTGATGGATTGTGGCATTTACCTGAAGATACTGAATATGTAACTTCTGCATTGTTTCCTTCATCGAGATCCTTCGCAAACACATTTGTAACCAACATATTTACTGGTTGACCTTCCAAAACCTGTCAATAAAACAAATGGCTTACAAATTAGTAGGTAAAATTAAAAAAAAAGAAATTGCAATGAATTTGAAGTGAAGAACTCGCTACTACTAAACATTTAAAAACTATTTTTAAATCCACATATGATTCAAATGTCTACCATATAAAAGTTGTATGGGCGTGAAGACATTTAAATCTTTTACTCAATTTGAACAAATTATCTACAGCAATTGAACTAATTCTGAGTGGGGTGGGAAAGGAAATCAAATTAACTAACCGATCTTAGATTTTGGGTATATTTTAAGAATTCTAGCATCTTCTCATTCATCAGTCTCAGGATGTTTTTTAAAGGTTGTTGTTATGGTCCAAAATATAATAAACATAAATCTTTATTTCAGGAAACATACTTCATTAATTAACAGGGACTTTCCTGGAATACTGAAATTTACATGGGAGTTGAACTCCATGTTTAGAGTCCTAATGCCCAGTTAAGCCATGGGATATTTTAATGACATAATTAAGATCATAATGATAATATAATATTTTGCTTTGGCAAAATTTTCTTTAAAATGGCTTTGGAAGATTAAAGTTATTAACTTTCTCAATACCTTTTTTGAGTTGTTCAATATGCATATCTGAGCACACTTTGAATGTCCAATTCAATAGTTTTGAAGCAATAGTTATTAAACTTTTAATTTATATAACCCATTTTCAAAAGTATGAGTACCTCCTAGATATATTTATTAATTATGTACATGAAATAAAATGCTAATTTATTATATACATTACAAAACATACACAAAACAGGGAAATAAAAAAGATGAGATAATGCAAATATAATTAGAAGTTTCTGCATGTGCCCCTAAAGATTAACTTTTATAATCTCTGAATGTACTTCTCTCCACTTTTTCTTTTTAAATTAAAGTTTATTGAGGTGACAATTGTTAGTAAAGTTACATGGGTTACTTATCTCCACTTTAGAGCTACAGATAGTTCCTCTATATTTAACTAAGCATCTTAGAAACATGTATCAATTGTTCATAAAGAGTGCTGCACAAAGAGATACATGCAAATGATTAGAAAAACAATCCATGTCTCAGCATTACTGATAATGGGAAACCATTATGTTTGTATCACCAAACGACTGCATGTGAGATCCCCAATAGCACATATAACATTGTATTTTTTAAAAATGAGATTTTTTTTCTGACATATGCACAATTTCTAGGTCTTCTAGAAATGAATGCATTGCCCAGGAAGACTGATTTGGTAAATTCACACTTTTGACCACTAGATGGTGCTCAAAACAAATAACTAAGAAGACTACAAATTCATCGCAAGGCTATTTCACCTCACAAACCTTGATGTGTAATTCCTTTCCAGGGAGACACTGTGGGAAATACGGCTTGTTATCATTGATGTCCGTCACTGAGACATAAGCCACCATGGTGGCATTTCGCGGTGGAGAGCCATGGTCGGTCACTAGCACAGTCAGCTGATGGTGGGCCTGATGCTCATGATCCAATGCCACCCAACTGATAAGTTCGCCTGAGGAACACAGAGAACAAAAGACGCTGACAATTCTGGCATGAGGAACCACATCCAAAATAATCTGTGGAAAAGAAAATCAAATACTATAAAACAGCTCCGAGCAAAAGCCTAACTTCCAAGACCACATACATTAGAAGTCTGGCTCTACTGTTGAGAGAACTTTCTGAAGTTTCCCTTGAAAATGACACTTTAAATTACTCATTCTTTGCATTTCAACTTATCTACCATCAACTGTTCAAAATAAAAATTAATATCATAGAAACAAATGACAAAAAACCTCTGTGGGAATGTAGTAACAACACATAAGATTTAAAACTTCAACATATTCCTCCTCATACTGCTGTAGAGAATAATGGAAAGAAACGCCCCAGCTCTGTCATCACACTCTCTGAGTTCGCATCCCAGTTTCTTTACTTCAGTTACGGAAGGAACTTTCTGAGCCTACTTCCTTAGGGCTATCAGAAATAAATACAATCGCTAATTTAAAAGTATTTTGTAAGCTATAAATTATTACACACCTGGCAGTTGTTATAATCACTTTAAAATATGGCTAGATAACTCCCTGAAAATCAAATATATTCCTTAGGCTATGGTTTGTCTTTTATATATACAGTTATTTATTGTTATCTCACAAAATATATGTGTGGTGATGAATAGTGACTTCCCAAATAACTCTTAATGCTTTACCAGCCTTATTTTACATGTTTTTGCTCTGACCTGTGTTCTAGGCGATTTCCCTCACATTTCAGCCATGGAAACTCAGGCATGAAATTGTAACTGCCTTTCTCTATGGTCAAGGGAAAGTTCTCTCTCACTGGTAGCCTGTCTCCTGCTGTAGAGTTCTGCCAGCTTTGGCTCCCTCACTATTTATGGAAATATCTATTTGTGACCAAGTAAACATGAAGCAACTACCACTTAACATTGCTTTTTCTAAGATTTTTTTGTTTTTGTTTTAGCACTCTTCAGCCAAATATAATGACATGTGAAACAAAGGAAAATGCTGAAATGGGGAGCCAGAAAGAAAATTCACATTTGGGTATGTTGCTGAATTGGTAAGTTTAAATACAGTGTCTGTCTACTATATAAACTATATTTCTGTGCTCTTTACTCACACACAAAACGTATTTTTAAGTACCAAACTGTAATTTTCCTCTGAAAATCCTAAATACTGAATGGCAAGCAGATTTTATTTGATGAACCAGCTCTTTGACAGGTAGCAGCTGTTTGGAGGTCAATGGTAAAATGATGGTGAGGCTCAGGTGTGGGCTGGGCATGGGTGATGCCAACACAGGGCTCTGTGGGAGCTGGAGTCCTGATCACTGAGGCTGCTCAGGGCACCAGGATGCTATGGAGGGAGTCCTCAACCCCTGTCTTATCACACTGTTCCCAGACCTGGTAATGGGAACCGCTTACAAGTACATAGTCTTCTGTGACCTTTCATATGATTTAACTCTACCCCTCAGAGCAGGACACAAAATATGTCAGAAATGATCTCTTCTGTTCACGATAAGGAAGTCACGCACTCTGAGGTTAAGCTAGTTGCTTAAAACCCTACAACAAAACTAGGAGTGGACACCTGGGTGCTACAGGAATTGTAGGGCAGAGATGATCGTGGGGGAACTGGTAAGTTCACAGTCTTTTATAAATTNATAGGCAAGGTGACATAAACTTTTATTGTAAGATGTACAAAAGCAGGAATTTTTGTTTTATTCGCTGATGCGTCCCAAACACCTATAACAGTGAGTGCTATGTAAATAAATATGCATTGAATAAATACATATCGACAGGTTGAGCTTGCTTCCATTTTCTTCCTTGAATAAACAAGTTGCATTCGCTTTAGAACGTCTATTGACTTTTCCTTATATCAACTTGCTTCTATAAAAAAAGGTAAAGGACAAGAATCTAACCAAAGGCTAATTCCTATCAAAAAAAGTAGTTGGGTAACAATAAATGACCAACACAAATGCTTGCAATCACGGTCACCTTAAAATAATCTGAATTAGAAGTAATGTTTGTTTCAGTGTAAAATTACTAAATAAATAGCACAAACACGAAAAATAAGGAATTGCTCTTTTCATGCTACTAAAGAGGATACTTCAAACAATGTAGGAAAAAAAATCTTCATATAATTTGTAAAATGGGATTAAAAATACATGAAAAAAGAGCTATTAATAAATATGTCTCTGTGTTTCCTCCTTTTAAAACTCAAAACACTGTGGCCTGTCTTGTGCCCACATCAAAGGAGCCCAACTAACTGAGAATAAGAGAAACGAAGGCTCAATTCAATATCTATCTCCTGGTGCCTAAACACATTTTACAAAAATGTTCTTTGAACTAAGAACACACTTAGAAAACCAGAAACAGACCAGGAAGATAAACCCACAAGAGAAAACAACCATGACATTGCCACACCCCCTTCATTTTTCCAAAACGTTTTTCTTACCAGATGAACACAGTAAGTCAAAGAGCTCTATTTTTAATGCATGAGTCTTGGTTGTGGCACAAATGAGCCAATGTAAAAATCTCTTGTCTTCAGAAAAACATGAGCCTATAACACAAAGTATGTAAGCTTATAGAATAGCATGTCTGATATAAGAGACATTAAACTGAAAGGATGAAATGAAGCAGGGAGCAAATTAACGAGTGTCTCTAAGGGAGAATTTTAGAGGAACTTGCGGGAGAGTGACAATGTAGAAATTTGCTCATCAGTTCTCAATAGTCTCCTCATACAATATAACTATATATAACTATAACACTATACAACTATATAATAAATTACATAAAAACTACAACCTATGTAATTATATAGCTATATATAAATGTATACATTTATACTTATATATTTAGTATATAAATCTAGAAAACTGTCAGCCAGCACAGATGAGCTGGTGAGAGAATGAGTCTGGGGTAGTTGTGAGAAAAAGTGGCGGTGGGNATAGTCACCACGCTGTGCATTACATCCCCAGGATTTATTCATGCTGTCGCTGGAAGTTTGTACCAGTTAACCACATTCATCCACTTACTCTTGTCCACTGCTCCCCACCCTTGCCTCTGAAAACCCCCAATCTCGTCTTTGTATATGTATATGTATTATTGTCAACTCAGCTAGACTATAAGCTTTACTGTGGCAATAATTTCATGTCATTCTTTCCTTATTTAGTCAACGACCATTTATTTTGTGTCTACTACACGCCAGGAACGGTGCTAGTAACTGGAAAGGCAATAGAAACAAGAACAGACAGTGTCTGTCGGGGACAGACATTCACCAAATAATCACAAACCATGTAACTAAAATATAAAGAGACGCTGTGGGGCATTATCAATCTGGGCACCTGATTTAATGTGGTTGGGGAAGGAGATGTCAGAAAACACGTCCATGAAAAGGTGACCTATGATCTGAGACCTGAAGGATGAGTTAGGCCGTTAACTGGTGGTGAAGGCGTGAGTATGGGACGAGCGAGGAGAGGGAACAATCAAATGATCTCGGCAGAAGAAAAAATAAGTCAAGTGACTACAGGAGGAAGGGAAGGAGAAGGAGGAAGGCGAGGATGAGGAGGAAGAGCAAAGAGGAGGAAGAGGAAGGAGGAACAGGAGAAGTCGTAGTAGTTGGTTTAAGGAAGGAGCACGGAGATTAAAGAGAAGCGTTATTGGAACTGAAGCCACGGAGGAAAGCAGGCCAATCACGGAGGGCCATGGCTGACCATAACGAGGATTTGGTATTCAGCCAAAAAGCCAGAGGAAGTCATTAACGATTTTAGGCAGGGGAGCGAAATGACCAAATCTGTCTTTTTATATTTGAACAAGGTTCATTTTATGCCTATAATATATAAATTTTACTAGGCTTCCTCTGAGTCAATGACTACTTTAGTTGGCCTTCAAAGCCAATTTGGTATAATGAAACAATTTCTACTAGAGACCAGGAAGAAACTAGTTAAGTTTCTTTGAACACTCACCACTTAGAAGAGGGGAGTATTAAGATTAAGTGTGTCCTTTTATATGCTGAATGCTTCAAAACATTCACTTTTTAAAATATATTTGAATATAAGAGGAGCTAGAAAACTTATTTATTTGAATCCAACATTCCTGAATAAACTGAGCTGACTACTGAAGTTAAGCAGCTACAAACTATAGGTCTATAGTATATATTACATATAAATATGCATATTGATATATAATCAATAATGAAATAGTAAATAAAATGAACAGCTTTCTTTGCCTATATATTATTGTCAGTTTAAAATTTATGGAGATACATTTTAATACTTTAAATTACAGTAATTATTTGGCTCTCATTTTTTCATGACACTTGCAAATTATCATTAACCATCAGTTCATGGGACCAAATTTAACATTAAAAAATAGATACCAATTTAGTTANTGAGAACCGCTGCTCTAATCAATATGGCAGGTACAAAAACTAATGTTAATTAATATGTTTGTACTAATGTCATGACTAAAAGATTTGAGTGTTGTCAATTCCAATTTTAAAGGAATAAGTGGAAGCTACAAAATGCTACCTGTACGAGGATTCATCTTGAAGAACTTTCCATCAGACAAAAGGAAATATGACAGCTGTCCGTTCCTTCCCGAGTCTCTGTCAATTGCTGTAATTTTGCCTATTACCCCTTGGGGAAGGGGACTCTCCTTGACTTTCAAAAACAACACATCATGCAAGAAGGTAGGGGAATTGTCATTCTCATCCAGGACATGAACAATTACTGAAGTGCTCACATTTTGTGACAATCTGTCCTCCGGGATCCGGGCGAACACTCTAAAACTATATGTTTGTGTGGATTCATAGTCGAGCTGTCGCCGCAAATAAATCCAACCTGTGTAAGGGTGGACACCAAACACAGCAGAGTCTGTGCTGGGTTCCAGAGAGTATAGGATCTGGGGTGTTTTGTGCTCTGGGCCAAGGGGGTAGGCCTGTATTTGCAGTATTTGGGTCGTCAGTGACAGAAACTCACTAACTTCCACTTGATAGACCAAATTTCCAAAAATCAAGGACAAGCTTGATTCTTGTTTTTCGATAACTATTGTCAGCACGAACAGGGATGTTCGAGGAGGAATGCCGAGGTCCTGGGCCATGACTGTCAGTGTGTGCTTCTGGGGCGCACCACCTCCCAGGCTGTCATTGAGGTACACCACCCCAAGCCTCGAGTCAATGAAAAAGATGCTTGGGTTCTGGCTTGCAATGATGGAGTATTGGATAAATCCATTCCAGCCACTGTCTTTGTCTTCAGCATGCACACGGTACAAGGCTGTGCCAGGCAGCGTGACGTGAGATATCTTCACCTCATCTGAGGCTTTGGGAAACACGGGAGGGTTGTCATTGACATCGATTACACTTATGTTGACCTCTGTGCTGCTGCAGGCTGGGGAGCTGCCAAGCTGCGCCTGGACCGTGAGCACAAACACGGGCTGCATTTCGTGATCCAGAGGCATCTGGGTTCGAATGGTGCCCAGCCACGGGTGGACAGAGAATTTTCCTTGCAGGTCACCAGAGGAGATTCGGTAAAAAATTGGCTCTGAGGAATCTGAAAAAAGAAAGAATGAAAAGAAAAAAAAAAGGAAAGAAAGCAATCACTGTATGTCAAAAGAATGTGCCTACTGGAAACACTGAAATCTGAAAGTATTAATAGACACTATATCTATGGAGAATAGTATGGAATGTTTCACATCTTCCTCAGCTCTCTAAAGCCTGTTGAAAAGTGGACACATGGTTTAAGATGCATTAGTGGGCAAAGGTAATGTCCAGTGGACAAAAAGCAAGGCACAGCTTTCAATATCTTTCTTCATTCTTCTTGCTTTAGGTAAAAGGGAAAGATATTCACAAAATTATTTGAATGCCTCTTTAATATCTTTGAGGAAGCCACGTTAAGTTCATGTTGATGTTTCTCTATGATATCTGCTTAGGAATGGCAAATGCTCTCCACAAAAGTTGAGGGAAGGAACTGAGGAAGGGATAGAAGGGGACTGGGAGCAGGACAAGGTCTTTGGACAAGTGGCTTGTTTCTAGGAATTCACCCTGCAGAGAAACCTTTGTAAGTCATGCAAGGACATTGCTTGAGTACTATTTTAGACCAGCAAAGTACTACAAATCACTCAAATTGATAGCAAAAGGGACATGTTTAATAAAACATGTTTTATATCTAAGTTGAAATACCAGTAAATTTTTAAAAATGAGACAGAATGATGTACAGTTACCTGCAAAGATGTCTACAATATACAGTAGAAAAAAAAAAGAGTTGTAGGACAACAAAGATTGTAGGATGTATTTTTGTGAAAAATTTAAAAAGTCTGTGTATGTGTGCACATGCGTGTGAGTGTGTGTGCTGGGGGAGTGGGTTATAGGAGATGTATACTTTCTACCTTATACTTTTTTTGTTTTAAACTTTCTTTTACAAGTACCTATGACTTTGGTGACTAGAAAAAAAAATGTAGGATAGAAATAATGTTGAAAGAACAAAGAACAAGCCACATTGTGTGGTCTCCCTTCATTCTTCTTGTGTGGAGAGAAGGAAAGATTTACTCAAGATTGTACAGCCTAAGGATATACAGGAAATGTTCCAATAATAGATTTCAATGCAGCATAAGGAGGAAGTACTTACTGAAGGGCTCTTTTGCTTTCACTGTTCCAACTGGACTGTCTTCAGGCACATCTTCATAAACTGAAAAAGCATACTTAGGCCTTTCAAATTCAGCCGGTGCCAGAGCTGTCTGAAGAATGTGGATTGTGACATCGGCATTAATGACAGATGTGAGCCCGCCTCCATCTTGAGCACAGACCACCAACATCAGTGTAGTAGATTCCAAATGACTAAGAGTTGATGTTAAGTAAATAGTTCCTGGGGAGGGGAAAGAAAGAATTAAAAAAACGGATCACACGCAATAAATACTGATGAACAACAGTTAACACCTAATCTGTTGATTTTATGTGTCAACTTGACGGGACCACGGAGCACCCAGATATTTGGTTAAGTGTTATTTTGCGTGTTTCTAGGTGATAGTAACATTTAAATGTGCAAACTGAGTCAAGCAGATTGCCCTCCCTGATGTAGATGAGCCTCATCCTGTCAGTTGAAGGCCTCAGTAGATCAAAAGGTTTACCCTCTGGAGTGAGAGAGAATTGTTCCTGCCTGAATGCCTTTGAACCGAGAAGTTAGTGTTTTTTTGTGTTTTTTTTCTGGCCTTTGGAACTGAACTGAGATATCGGCTCTTCCTGGGTCTTGAGACTGTCAACCTTCAGACTAGAACTGCACCACTGGCTCTCCTGGGTCCCCAGCTTGCCGGCTCGCTTTGCAGATCTCGGGACTTGTCAGCCTCCACAATCGTGTGAGCTAATTGCTTATAATAAATCTCTTTATATTGGGTTGTCAGAAAAGTCATGTCGCATTTTTGCAACGAAAAACATAGAAAAAATACGTCATGACTTTTCCGAAACCCAATATATATTGATATTATATGTACGCTATATGTAATATATAATCTATATCTGTATCCTATAATATATAATATGATACAGATACATGATAGAGATATAGAGAGATAGAGAGAGATAGAGATAATCTCCTACTTGTTCCATTTCTCTGGAGAACCTTAATTAATACATGTATTTTCCAAACAAAGAACTTGACACATTTGCAAAATGATGGTCCAAAACTTCTTAAGTAAACTATATTTTCCTAGAGCTTAAACATTGCATATCTTCAAAGTATATCAATTCATCAGAAAAAACATAAATTGTGTTGCCTTTTTAGGCCTGACTATCATACCACCCGCCCTGAATGTAATGCTAACAAAGTTGAATGGAAAGAACTGACAGTTACAGAGGAGCCTGAGATAACACTTTAAAGTTATATACAAACAGTGAAGCACTATACCAGTGTTAACTATTATAAAGAGGGCTTAGCTTAGACCTTCACATTCGCATATACGTGTAGTAGTCATTCAGAGAATGAATTCATGTGGAGGGAGGGGAGTCTCAGGGGTCCTACTTCCCAAAGGGAAATGCCTTGTTAAAAAAAAAAAAAAGGAGTTTTCAAGCCTTTTAAAACAAATGAACATAGAAGGTCAATTCTTGCCATTTATTGTTTTTCACTAGGCTTTGAAAAGAAAATGCTCATTATCTTATTCCTCCATGTCTCATTTCACAGCAGTCTTAGAAGTAAGGCCTTCACTCTAGGGTGTCTAAATTAATATATTTTATACACATATATATGCATACACTTATACATACAGATACATGTCTGCCTGCCTGTCTGTCTATCTACACACACACACACACACACACACACACACACACACACACACTGATACTCAAAAATCCTCTGTAATGATGGGATAGTCAATATTGTATAAATAAGAAACCTATTGGGCCGGCCGAGTGGTGCGATGGTTAAGAACTGGCTTGGGACACCAGAGGGCCCCGGTTTGGATCCCACATATGAGGGCCAGTGACACTGCCCTCCACAGCTAAGATGCTGAACAACAGCTCAACCTGGAGCTGGGCTGCTGTGAGCCACCGGCGATGGCATAGGCTGCAGCCCCTTTGACAGTGGGTTGCCATGGGCTACTGTGTGTAGCCAGCAGCCAGCATGAGTGGCCAACAGCGGTTCGGCCGTCCAGAAGCCAGTGACTGATGTGCCTCGCCCGAGAAGAGCGCAATGATGGCACCAACTTGGGCCAGTGAAGCAACATCTTCCACAACTAGACTGAAGAACAAAACGACAGCAACTTGTCTGTTCCCCTTCCCCCATTCCCCAAAAAAAATCTTTAAAAAAAAAAAAAAAGAAACCTATTCATCAATTGCCAAGCCAAGAATTTAGTTTAACATGATATACTTGTTGACTAGTAGGACACTTGGGCAAGAGACACACAGACACTTTCCAGAGGAACCCACCTTCATCCCCAGGGTTCAAAGATTCTCTCAGACCAAGATCCATGCCCAGAGTAAAAAAAAAAAAAAAAAAATCACAAAACACCCAAGAAAACATAATAACAGATTTTGACTACGAAAGACTTCAGAAAATATAAATGGACAAAATGCTCTAATTAAAAGACAAAATTTATCAGAATGAATTTCAAAATAAGTCCAACCACATGTTTCTGGGAAACACACCTGAAACAAAAGGATATGGACAAGATGCAAGGGAAAGATGGACACCTGGACGTCATCCCCAACCTCGTGCTCCTTCACTCCTTCAATCTATCTGACACGTGATGTCCCCTTGCTTTTGGACTCTTTCCTTTGTTTACTTTTTGTGTTTGCTAACAATTCCTGGGGTTTCTCCACTGGCCCTTCCACCTCCTAAGATGTCTAAGCATTTCTCTAAGTACTAAATCTGTTTTCTAGTCTCTGAAGGGTCTTAAAGAGTGTTCTCTGACCACCTGCATCAAAATCACCATGGCTCCTTATAAAAACAAAAAATTTCAGACTCTTACCCAGATATTCTGATTCCTAGATGTGGGGAAAGATCCAGGAATTGCGTTTTTAACCAGTAGTTTTTATTCACTGTAAAGTTTGAAAACCACTGCTACATAATCTTCCCTGCAAATTATTCATTCACATTTTAGCGACTTCAATAGTTATTTTATCCTAGTATCTCCCCATGTCCTTCCACCTAAATTACAGTTTTATACTTTTTTCTAGGTGGCACTTCCCCTTGGCATTTGTCAATCTGACATCAGTTGGACCATCAATCATCTTTGTTAAAATGAAGAAATTATATATAACTCATTCTTTTTCATTAACAAATCAAATTAGTCACCATTCTTATATTATTTTCCTCTTAAAATATCCTCAATTAGTTCCTTCCTCTCTTTTATTACTATCTCCTTAGTCCAAATCTCATAACTTGATCCCTGGGTTATTATAACAGTGATAATATATTATATCATTGCTATTAATTAATATATTCCCTGCTTAAATTTTCTAGTTCTATAATCCACCTAGCACACTGCTGCCTGGGTAATTTTTCTTAAATATCACTTTCACCATAATGTTATAGGGTCTAAAACCCTTATGCCAGTCCTTATTTCCTGTAATAATCAAGTTGAAACATCTCTCTCATACTTTGAAATTCCTTCATAAGCCATAAGTGGGGACTCAGTGTAGTTTCTCATCATTATGTAACCCATCTCTCTGTGTCAGACATGATACTCTCCAGCTATCATAAATATGGGTAACAAGTATGATGACAAAGCACAGCCCATGGGATACAATCATAGAATGACTTTATTATTTTTTGCTCCTATTTAAATTTATTTTGTAATGCTAACTGTTATTCCCTTGCCCCGAAGTGAAAATTAAGGAAGTTTGTACAACTTCTGCAATCACCGTCAACCAATTAAAATCCTTCCTGTTACCTTAAGTCGCAAAACAGTCTTAATTTAATAATTAGAATGTAAAGGTCCATATAATAATCTGAGCTCTAAACTTAAAATTCAGGTGGGGCACACGCTGCGGGTCAGAAATAAATGGCTTTTCTCTTTCCTCCCCCAGCTTGCTTCAAACCTCTTATCTGAGGCTGCCTTCACAGCTAACACATTTCTCTTCCATTGTCCACTTACTGCTTCCTTGTCTCCTGAAAAGCTGGCAGTGCTCACACCTTCTCCCTCTGGCCCTTTCTGGGCATGATCTGAAACAACTCCACACCAGCTACCTCTGTCACAAATGACCAACATCCAGGAGACACCATTAAGTGCTCTGTGCCCCTACAAACTCCTGGAGGGAAGTTTGTCTTCACCCAGAAACCTCTCCTTTGTTCTGCTGTCAGTCATTCTCCCTTTACATTTCTCAAGTGAGAAACAGACTTGAGTCTGTTAGCCCCAAACTGCAGAGAACACATACTAAGTTCTCTGTGCAGCCAATACGGTATAGGCACCCCACCCTTGGGGAGTGGAGGGGGATCTTCAAATCAACGGCAGCTCTCTCCAAATGATCAACACCTTTTATCTCCAATTTGTCAACCTTTTACGCCTTTGACAAGGTAGGTAAAGTTCAGAAGAATAATGAAGTCTAGTATCCCCGTGGAATGTGGAATTCACTATATATCTTAACGAGTCAGCCTAAACTTAAATTTTAATTTCTTGCTACAAATGCTTACTATCTCCATGACTTCATATTTATATATTTATATTGTTTGCTCCCCCAGAATTACTATCAATTCTTCCCCCTCCTGCTTATCCAAATCAGAGTTATCTTTCAAGGTTCAGCTCCAGTTTCGTGGTCCATAATTCCTTCCCTGACTGTCTAGATTTTCCAGAGCTCCCTGCTAAAGCCCTACACTATCTGTCACCATTATTGTCATCAATACATCACACTTGCCATTTACATTTCTTTTTCATGGAAGGAAAATACAAAGTCACCTTATGAAAATACAGGCTCACCTTAATGAGCCTGTGTGACTCTAGCGCCTATAAACTTGATTATACCTAAAATGCAAAAGTTAGCTTTCAAAAATGTGCTAACCCAAAGGGTAGCTGAGGAGTCCAGGAATAGGAGAAGACAGGAGAGGCAAATGTTAGGCACACACACCTCGGTCCAGGCCATGGAAGTGAAGAGAGAGCTTTCATAAACAAACTTCAAGTGTTTCGCTCACACTGAAAAGCAGAGGAATGCAGAGCGCTGGAGGTCAACAGGTTTTCATATTTTTGTTCTACTGGCAAGAACATCTTTATTATGGGGAAGATCTATCAGGTTATTGTAACCTGGTACTGCTAAACATTAAAATGATCTCATCCCCTTCTTTAAACATCAGTGCTGATTTACAGACTTTTCCAGATATGATTGGGCTTTCTTCACAGTGTGCCTACAAGGAGAAGGTAAGCTGGACATGAAGCCTAA